TTGGTATTCGAGGTTGATTTATTAATTTCAAAGTTAAGGGTAATAGTTATTCAAGGAATTTGAGGTACTTTATGTCATTTTACACTTTAGGGGCATTTTTGTCATTTTACACTTTAAGGGTAATTCCATAATTCCAATATAGATCCAATTTAATTCAATGCTTCTAGAGCTCAATTGTATCAAGATATGAGTTCTCCGGTCGTCTTCATATCATAACCATCTATTGTGTTGAACACTTTAAGCGTATCGTCGTCATTTCATTCAATTATGTCAGTGGCATACTTCCGATAATTTAGTCTTGAATGCAATCTAGTTCCTTTAGCATTAGGGTATTTTGTTCCTTTGATTTTTGGAGGTTATTATAGTTATTAAGAAGCTCGAGGACATTTCAGTAATTCCTTTAAATTCAATCATGTGCAGTTTCTATGATAATTATATTTGTTCCCGATCGATCAACAAATTTCTTTTTTTTCGAACCGTCTAAGTCTTATATAATGATATGTCTTTATTCCAATTTACGTATGAGTCTGATGATAGTTAAATACACTTAATGGACCAATCATTCCAATCAAGCATTTATCATCTATCCATGAGTTCGAAAAAAATATACAAAAGGTAGTATAGTATTACCTCAATTTTCATATCATATCGATCGACCATTAAACTCCATTCAATATCCCTCGAACGTTAATTCAACTTCCAATAATCCCTCAGATATAAAACAACCAAATTTACGTCAGAAACTGAACTTAATTGAGAAACCATATTAAATCCCTAAGTTAAATTACCAAAAAATAGCTTATCGGGTGCAAATTTGGAAAATAGACTTTGGATTCGGACTCAGGACGCCGAAAAACATAAAATATGACCTTTTCGAAAAAGTTAACTTTTTGGTCAACGACCAACGGTAAAAGTCAACTGGTCAAAGTTAACGAATTGACTCGGATGAGTTGACTCAGTGACTGGACCAGACCAGGCGGGTCGGGTTGGACAGGCAGGTCGGATTGATCGATTCTAGAAATTTCCTTGGACCCAAAACAAGACCCACGTACACCCGGCGGCACGTGAGGGTGCGTGCGACGGCGGCGGATGTCTGATTGGTCGGTCAATTATACCATGAGCATCTACACATTATTAAAAGCTAAAATCAACTCAAACATTAGCCTCAATCCAACATAATTAAAATAAAACAAATAACCAAACCCTTACCCACGTCGATGACAACAAAATGTGGCAATGCTTCGACCTACGGGTTGGGTCACATGCGCCCGAGGATGACGATGTTAACGGTGCAAGCGGTGAGGCAAGGCGATCGTCGGATCGGCCATAATCGAGGCAAAAATATACGGTGGTGGGAGAAGGTTTCGATGATGATACACGGCGGAAGAAGGTGTTTCACAGTGAGAAACTATGGGGGTTTTGGTCACCGTCAATAACGAGTCGAACGGGGGTAAAATTGAGCCGGACGGTGGTCGGATGATGAGGTTCAAGGAGGTCGACGAGGTTTGATTAGGGGGAAATTAATGTGGGGTTAGGGGTTCAAAATTTTGGGGATAATTTGGGGTTAAACTGATCAGAGAAGGAAAGTTTTTTTTCACTTATAAAGAAAAATGGGTAAATTATGGGTTTGGTCCCTAAATTCCTACAACTTTCTAAAACTAATTATAAGTTTCTAAAGCTTATAATTTGACCCCTAAATTGGGATGTGACACAATGTGGCAGTCAAAAGCAGTTCTGGTAATGTTAAACTTCTTTATGATATTTATTACATTAAAAGTCTATCACAAAATCTGTTGAGTGTAGGGCAACTCATGGCTACTGGATATTCTATCATGTTCGATGATGCCTCTTATATGATTAAAGATAAAAAAAATTAGATCAAACTATAGTTGACATTCGCATGACACCAAACAAGTTATTCTCACTCGTTATTTCTGATGTTCAAAACCATGCACTTGTTGTCAAAGAAAATAGTGAGTCAAGATTATGGCATTTAAGGTATGGGCATTTAAATGTCAAAGGTTTGAAATTATTGTGTCAAAAGAAAATGGTTGATGGATTGCCTAAAATTGAGTTTTTAGATACATGTGAAGGGTGTATATATGGAAAACAATGTAAAAATCCATTTCCTGTGGGGAAGTCTAGAAAGGCAATGAGGTGCCTTAAACTTGTACATGCTGATGTGGTTGGTCCCATGAAAACTCAATCATTTGGTGGGTTTGTAATACACGAGTTTAATAATTTCTTTGAAGAACATGGCCTGAGAAGAGAGTTGATTGCTTCATACACTCTATAGTAGAATGGTGTTGTTGAACGAAAGAATCAGACTGTTGTGGAAATGGCAAGAAGCATGTTGAAAGCTAAATGACTTCCGAATCAATTATGGGCAGAAGTTGTTGCAACTACAGTCTACTTACTAAATTTGTCACCAACAAGGGTTGTTTTCAATCAAACTCCATATAAGGCTTGGTACGAAAAAAAGACCTTGGGTAAGACACTTAAAGGGTTTTGGTTGTGTTGCTTATACTTTAGTTCACTCACATAAATGCAAAAAATTGATGAAAAATCAACAAAATGCATTTTTGTTGGTTATTGTTCTGAGTCCAAAGCTTACAGGTTGTATAGTCTTATTGATAGAAAAAAATAATTAGTATAAATGTGATTTTCTATGAAGATGCAAGCTGGTCTTGGGATGAAAATGTAGGTGATGTCAATTTTGAATTTGCAAGTAAAGAAGCAGCTCTATAGATTGAAGTGTTACAACCCCCTTCTCCAAATCTGTTGTCTGCTCCAACTTCATCAAGTGCATCTTCGAATAGTAGAAGTTCCTCCGATGATGAGACTCCTCCCTATAAATTCAAAACTTTTGTGAATATTTATGCGTTTACGTAGGCCTTGTTTCTTGCTGATCCTGTAACTTTTGAAGAAGCGACAGACAAAGAGGAATGGCGAGTTGCAATGAAAGAAGCAATTGCAGCAATACACCGTAATGAGACATGGGAGCTTGTAGATCTTCCTAAAGATAGAAGAGTCATTGGTGTCAAATGGGTCTTTATAACCAAGTTCGACGCAGATGGAAACATTCAAAAGCACAAAGCACGTCTAGTGGAGAAAGTATATTCACAATAGCTAGGTGTAGATTTTGATTATACTTTCTTTCTGGTTGCACGGTTTTAAACCATCATGATTGTTTTGGCATTGGCTGCACATTTAAAAAAGACAGTGTATCAGTTTAATGTTAAGTCGACTTTTCTGAATGGTGATTTACAAGAGGAGGTCTAAGTTGCTCAACCTGATGGATTCATGATCAAAGGAAAAGAAGAAAAAGTGTACAAGCTACGAAAAGCTCTCTGTGGACTGAAGCAAGCTCTACACGCATGGTACAGCAAAATCGATCCATACTTTCCCAAAAATGATTTTGAAAGAAGCAAGTATGAGCCCAATCTTTATTTTAAACAACAAGGTACCCATGATTTTCTCATTATTTGCCTTTATGTTGATGACATGATTTACATGGATTCCTCAAGCCTTATAAATAAATTCAAAGCTTGTATGAAAAAGGAATTTGAAATGACGGATCTTGGAGCATTGTAATTTTTTCTTGGACTTGAGGTGAAACAGGTTGAAAATGGAATCTTTGTGTCGCAAAATAAATATGTTGCTAATTTACTTAAAAAAATCAACATAACATGGAACAAAACTATAGTAACACCTATGAATTTGAATGGAAAGTTGAAGATTAATGATGGTATTGAAGCAACAGATGCAAGAAGCTTTAGAAATCTAGTTGGAGGCTTGATTTACTTGACTAATACATGGCCGAACATTTCTTTTGTTGTTTGAGTTATTTTGAGGTTCATGCACTATCCATCAAGGCATCATTTTGGCCTTGCAAAAAGAGTCTTACGTTATATTTCTAGAACTCTTGATTTTGGGCTATGGTATAATAATATTTCAAAGTTCAATTTGAGTGGTTATACAGATAGTGATTGGGCTAGAGTTTGGAGGATAGAAGAAGCACATCAGGTTATGTCTTTGGCTTTGGATCATGTGGTGTTTGTTGGAGTTCTAAAAACAAGCTACAACAGCTCTGTCTTCATCGGAAGCTGAATATACAACTGCAACTTCATCAGCTTGTCAAGCCCTATGGTTAAGAAGGATCCTAGCCGATATCAGTATGAAGCAGAAGAAAGCAATTGTGATCTACTGTGACAATCAAGCATCGATTTCCATGTCCAAAAATCCATCCTTTCATGGAAGAACAAAACATATAGATATTTGGGTACACTTCACTCTTGATCTTGTGTCTGATGGATCAATTATTCTATAATATTGCAATACAAATGAGCAAATGGCATATATACTAACCAAGTCTCTCCCTAAAGAAAAACATGCTTACTTCATATTACAGTTTGGCGTTTGCAACTTTGAATCAAGGAGGAGTGTTGGAGAATGATTCAAAGTCATCCTTCTATTTTTAGTATGGACTGTTATGTTGTTTCTTGTTTTTCTGATTTTCTTATTATTTTGCGTGCAATGGTGGTGCTTTTTTTGTTAGTTTATTGTGTTGTCAAGCCTATATACAGGCCTGTATTTGTTCCATTTTAAGTATTGAATAAAGCAGTAAGTTTTGTCATCTAAAGTCCATTATTTCTTCTTAATTTTTCAATTTTATTTGGCAATAGTCTTTTGTGACTATTTTATTTTTCTACACCAATGGCTTCAAAAGGAGGCAGATGTTGAGAAAGAAACTTCAAAGATTTGGAAACTTGTCTTTTCATTTTACATATTAATCAAGTGGGAGTCCTATTCAAAAAGAAAAAAGAAAACTCAAGTGGGACACCCTGAATGAAAAACTGAGCCTTGCACGAGTCAAAAGAGGTATGCCAGAGACAATTGCAGACCGTTCTCTGTTTTTATTTGGATAATATATTATAGCCCTTCTTTTGTTTCATCATCTTGGTCTTAAACAAAAGACTTAGATACTCTCTTACTGTTTCTATAAATTACCTTAAGAATTCATCTGCCTTGTTTCATCCAGTTCCAAAACATGGCTAAGATATCTTTCTTCTTGTTTTCTTTGTTCATGATAGTGGCTTCTGCAATTATCAATGGGTCTGCAGGAAAGGAGAAGGTTGGGATATATGAGCTGAAAAAAGGTGATATGTCTATTAAATTCACCAACTGGGGAGCCACTATTGTTTCAGTCATCCTCCCTGACAAATATGGTTAGTTTCTCTTAAGCACCCTTTGATTTTCTCTCCGAAACTTGTGAACTTCAAGTTGTAACCAGTGGAGATCCCTTTTTAAAGTTTTGGTTTTTATTAATCACTTAGTTCAAGAGTATTTGTCTGTTTTTGGTGATGATTTTCAGGTAAACTGGGTGATATTGTTCTGGGATATGAGTCCGTGAAGGAGTACATGGTAAATCTTTTCTCTTTACTTTCACCCATTTTCTGGTCTTCTCCTTTCCCTTTGTTATGTGAAAGGAAAATCACAGTTTTTCTTACGAGAAATTCTCATTCATCCATGTTTACGCTTTGCAAATTCTGAGTCGTTTAATCCAATGGAGAGCCTTTTTTTTTTTTAATTCTACAGTTTAGTTAATGTGTTTTTTACTCGGATCTTTTAAAATTATAATTTTACTCTTAAATTGTTTTAAATAGTTTCATTTTAACCTATTGTAGATCTTATGGAAATAGTTTAGGGTCTAATTATTTTTTCCAAAGAAGGATTTAATTAGTATTTTTTTTAAATTAGAAACATTTTTAATTTAAGATTTTTTTTAAAAGACTTGATGCAGATTTACTAAAATCTTAGGGACCATGCCCCTTGAAAGTTGAACCTATCACTGTCAGCCTCTGATTTTAGTTTTATTAATATTATCTATACACGTGAATCATAAAAATACAAATATATGTATATATAATATTTGGGTAAAATACATATTTAGTACCTAAACTATCAGTTTTGTTTTGTTTTTATATCTAAACTTTCATTTGTTTCAAAATCATACTTAACATTTAATTTTTATTTTATTTTGGTATCTCGTCGTGAAAGACTCAGCAGAATTGTTACAACATGATATTTTTTATGGGTAAATTTCATCATTCATCACTCAATTGTTATTTATCACTCTAACTTTTAAATTTATTTTTTTATTTTAATTATATATTAATAAAATAATAATAAAAAACATCATGTTATAAAAATTATTAATAAAATAAATTAGAGTGATTAAAACATGAGAAATTTGAAAGTTAAGTAGTTAAATTGAAATTTTTTAAACTTTAGTGTTCAAAATAGGAGTAAAAATATAATTAAGTGATTAATGATGTAATTTACCTATAAAAATGTCACATGCAACAATTCCGTTAAGTTTTTAAGGTACTAAAAATGAAACAAAAAGTACGCTAGGTGTGATTTTAAAATAAATGAAAGCATAGATACTAAAATAAAAATAAAATTAATAATTTAATTACTAAACTTATAGTTTACCCAATATATTTTATACATTATCAAAATTGAAAAAGTATAAAGGGTTTTGGATATACGACTCTATAAATAAATTTCAATATATATTTTCGAAAATTACTTTAAAGAATATATTTATTTTCAAAGATGAAAGCGAATAGGTCAATAATGAAACTTTTCTTGAAAAAACATATGTATTTTTTAATATCCGAATCTCATTGCTGTCTTTATCTATATTCTTTTGATTAAACCCATACCATTGCTAATCCTCTGAAGAATAATGATTAGATAAAAAGGTTACAGCTGGATTTGTTCTATAATTTTGTTTGGGTAAACTCCGTATTTAGTCATTTACTTATTCTGTACTTTTGTTTTAGTCACATAACTAATTTTTTTAAATTTTATATCTATTGTTATATTATAGTTTCGTTTTAATCATCTGTCATTAAAAAATTAATAAGGCCACTATTTACAAATTTTATTAATCATTGATAATGTATACTGTACATATATAACGGCTTGAACACATATTGAGACAACTCAGTAGGTACTATATATATTAATTATTTAATTATAAACACCCCCTTCTTAAATGGACATGAAAAGTCAATCATGTCCTTTGAAAATTATATTACTGACTCTTGTACTTGGCTTTTATCGGTTTAAATAGGATAAGGCTTTGAAAAATCAATCTAAATAATCGACTGGCATTTTGCAAGATATATCATTTGTTTTATTTGAAATTTTTATGATTTTATTCCATAGCACGTGTGTACATGTATGAATCTGAATTTCTACGTACTTGTCAAATTTTATAAAAGTTAAATGGTATTTAGGGTGAATATTGAATCAAGTTGAACTGAATTAAGTCAAAAATATTATTGATAAATTATATTCTATTTTCTCAAAAAAATGGTAAATGAAAGAGCTAAATTAAATTAACAGTCTTCAAACTTGTTCATCAACGGAATTTTTATTTTATTTTTTCCAAGTCTAGTTAAGTTGTTTGAGTGTGTGTTCAAATTTAATTATAATTATTTATAAAATTTTGGTATATATTGATTCTAATTTAACAACTTTATCTAATAATATAAAATACATATATATATATTTTCACATTATAATATTGTTTAATCATTTAAATATAATCTAAACTTATAAAATATAATTTTGTTTATGTTTTTTAAAAGTATTTTGATGATAAAATATTGAAGGATATAAAAGAATCAAGAAATTGATAAGAAAAAGTAATTTATAAAAAAGTAGCACTAAAAAAGTTAAATTGAATAAAATATAAAGTTGGGAGATTAAATTACAAAAAAGTATAAATTTATTGTTAAAAATAAGAATTGAAATTATATAGATATTCTATAGTGACAGAGGATATGTTATTTGAATTTTTTTAGTTGAGCCTAATCAATTTTTTTTTTAATTGAATCAAGTTTTAATCAACCCTATTAATATATATTTCTCTCATTCATGTCCTCTTTTCATTCTTTGTTTTGCAGAATGATACAACGTATTTTGGTTCTATTGTTGGAAGGGTTGCTAACAGAATAGCAGGGGCTCAATTCACTATGAACGGTGTCCATTACAAATTGGTCCCCAATGAAGGAAAAAACATGCTTCATGGTACGATGTTTCTTCAATTTTTTTCATCTTAATACTCACATTTAGCAATGTTTTTAATTTTCTCTCCTTAAAATTATTATAATTATCAGGTGGCCCTGTTGGATTTAGTGATGTTGTATGGAAAGTTAACAAGTACAAGAAAGATGGTTATGCTCCTTCCATCGTATTTGCTTATCATAGCTATGATGGTGAAGTCCGGTTTGCATTACTTTCAGACTGATATTTTTCATATTATCTTATAATCATTTCAGATTATTAAAAAATATTGTTCGAAAAAAAAAAAACTGATATTTCATTTCTTTGTATAATTGGCAGGATTTCCTGGTGCAGTCAAAGTAAGTGTAGCCTACACCCTTCACCCGGGCAACAGGTTGACTGTCAAGATGAAAGCCGAAGCTCTAAACAAGGCTACACCAGTGAACCTAGCCCAACACACGTATTGGAATCTCGGCAACCACAACAGTGGCGACATATTATCCGAACAAGTCGAGATTTTTGCTTCCCATTACACTCCGGTCGACAGCCAACTCATTCCCACAGGCGAAACCACAACCGTAAAAGGAACTGCTTATGATTTCCTCAAACCCCACACCGTGGGAAGCCGAATCAACAAACTTCCAAACGGATACGATATCAACTATGCCGTCGATGGTGTTGCAGGCAAGCTGAAGAAAACTGCCGTGGTGAAAGATGATAAATCTGGGAGAGTGATGGAGTTGTTTAGCGATCAAACTGGCGTTCAATTTTATACAGCTAATGGCCTGAAAGACGTGAAAGGGAAAGGTGGATATGTTTATCATTCTCATGCAGCTTTGTGTTTGGAGACTCAAGCTTTTCCGGATTCCGTTAATCATCCGAACTTCCCTTCGACTATTGTTTATCCCGGAAAAGATTACAAGCACGTTATGGTGTTCAAGTTTTCGATTTCGGCTTAAAGAAAAACTCCAGATCTTGTTTATGTTCGTTCAATCTCAAGAAACTTGAAACAATAATGCATTGCAGGTTTTAACTGTAACAATTTTATTCCCAAAACATCTCTGTTTTTTTCTCAGGAGTTGTTCTATTTGACCACCTTCCTGTTGGACAAAGAACATGTTTGATTTTAACAACGATTTACTTGTATCCCCAGATCAAAAACATGTAAATGAAATAAAAAAGAACCAGGGATAAGCATAAACTCAATGCTGAGGTTGGCCAGCATTAGGTTTCGGTGACCGGTAAAGATGGTTATTATGATACGGGGAGATTTGCGGACCATTTGGAGTTAGGGGGCTCCTTGGAAGTTGTCCCTTCCTCGGCACTCTATTTTCGGTTCTAGATTTTGAAGTCGATGCCATTCGCTCAATTTGGATGGCTTGGAACTGAGAAGAAGAACAAGCCATATCCTTGAGATTCGGCAGAGGCTTTAAGGCTTCAACAACTTCACTCATCAAAGGTCTGGATTTTGGATCACGACTAAGGCAATGGTCTGCCATTTGAATAGCTCTCTGAGCGCCTTTTATTGAAAACTGTCCTTGAAGACAGGGATCAATAAGTCGATAAAATCTTCGTCTCTCTGCAAGGTATGGACGAGCCCATTCCACCAGGTTATGCTCCCCATTTGGTCGTGTTTTGTCCATGGATCTTCGGCCCGTCAACATCTCAAGGAGAACCACCCCAAAGCTATAGACGTCACTCTTCGAAGTAAGATGCCCTGGATCATTAAGTAAAAGAAATTTCTTATTTGGTTCTTCCATTCGTTTAACAGGGAAAACAGACCTTAGTTGCATATTCAGCTCATAGAACCTCATAATCTTGTTAATGTTTACAAGATCGATAAGTTGACATGGTAGTATCGATATTTGTCAAATTATCTTCAAAAAGTGTTCAATCATATTTACCTGTCATAACATACTCAGGTGCTGCATAGCCGTAGGTTCCCATCACTCGAGTAGATACATGAGTCTTGTCTCCTTCCGGACCATCTTTAGCAAGTCCAAAGTCGGAAAGTTTGGCATTGTAATCCTGGAGAAGATTCAAAATATTTCAGAAGATGGATGATACAAGTTATAGAACGTCAAAATAATTTGTATACCATATTAGTCACACACCGCATCTAACAGTATATTCGATGTTTTAAAGTCCCGATATATTACTGGCCGTTCAGCTTCCTCATGAAGAAAAGCAAGACCCTTCGCAGCATCGAGTGCAATTTTCATTCGGATAGACCAAGGAAGAGGCATGGACCCTGATAAAATGAATGCCATTAAACTAAATCCAAACAAACCATCACTATTTCACTAGACAGCTCGCAATTGTGAACCAAAACAGTAAGTTTAAAATAATGCTTTTATAGATCTCCATGTTATCGACGACTGAAACCGTTATTCTTTCCTAGTGTTTGTAAATGAGACCAAAACTTCTTGAACACAGTACCATGCTGGGCTAATTTGAGGGGCAACAAACTAAAGATACGAAGAACAAGAATGCCAGTACCAATCCTTATTCCAACTTTGTATATCTTAATCCAGTTATGAATTATAATAAGTCAACTATAAGCTTAATTCACATCCAACACCGAGGGAAAATTCCAGAACAAATATATCAAAATATCTTAAAAAGATGCATTGTTAGCTTTATTTCCTGATATAAATAAGCTTGTTTCTTTTGGATGCTCAGGTATTTCATACATATAGACTATAGAGTTGGCTATTAGCTTACTTAGGTAGAATCTTTACGAGGCAATTGCAGGCAGACAAGCAAGGCAAGTTGATAAATTTCTATTAGTGAGTTTAGTTACATACTTCGGAAAAGGTGATTCTCCAAGCTTCCTCGAGGCATAAACTCGTAGACAAGTAGCCTTTGATCATCCTCAATGCAAAAACCGATCAACTTGACCAAATTAGAATGTAGGAGATCACCGAGATAATTAACTTCAGCCTGCCACATGCAAAATAGACCAAAGCATAATTCAAGCTTATGTGTTGATAAAAGATGCTGATATGATTTTAAGCATTAATAAATACTAAATTACAGAAACAGATTCTTACAAGCCATTCTCTATGACCCTGAAGTCCATTATGGTTTAGGGTTTTGACCGCCACAGGCAACCCTGTGCCTGGTTTTACCAGAGCAGTTCCATTCTCATTGATCCAACCTTTGAATACACAACCAAACCCACCTTCACCAAGAAGACTCTCAGGTCTAAAACTCCTTGTTGCTAACTTAAGCTCGTTAAAGGAGAATTTTCTAAGCTGAGAAGCAACTTTAAGCTCCTCACTTAAGTACGGAGTAGACGGAGTACTTCCGGCATTGGTAGTAGTTGAAGATGTCACAACCGGAACAACTGGTTGACCTCTGCTGGTGTCATTTGACTTATTTGTGGTGTCATTTGACTCATTCGTTGATTTACTTTCAGCTGGTATCCACGAAAACAGTGAAAAAAAATTAGATCATCCAGGTCATAAACAAGTGAATTTACAGACATCACACAGATTTTCACACACAAAGAACATGGTTATTCAAAATGTTTATAAATAGATACGACTAATCGTAATAGGAAAGAAACAGAGGAACCCTTGTGTCTTATCACATTATACACCTCCAAAACTAGGGGGAAAACCCGAGAGGATGACCACGTGGCTGAAATACCAAGGTCATCTCCAATCAAACTTGCATTTCATTAAGCATTAGACGACAAATAATAATCCACAAGGCGACAATCTCGGTGATCATAAAGTAGAAGCGAATTAGAATTTAGAAAAAGTCAAATTACCACCCATCAAATATGCACAAATGGAAAATAATCACTGCAACAGTAGTACAGCAAGAGATTCAGATCAATATCAACATTGAAACGGACATAATTGCTAACTAAAGCATAGAACCAAATCGATCAACAATATACGATTCATTGAATATCCACGTGGTGGCAGAAAATGCATACCGCAAACATATCAGCGAGTGACTAGAAGACCAAACGACAGACGAAAACAACATTACGTTAGAAAACAAACAAGAAAGTACAAGGTGATAAACCTAAAGAATATAAAGTACAAGTGAAATACACAACAAGAAAGCAATCATTGCAAAATAGTAAAGGAAGAGATACCGACAGATATCGTTACCAAAACGGACATAACATCATTCCTAAAGCATAAAACCGAATCAATCAACAGTAAATTCTCATCGAACATACATGTGATGAAAAATGCATACAGTTTAGCATATCAACATACACTTAGGAAGCCAAATGATGGACAAAAGATAAACTAATCAGATAAGCACAAGCAAAGCCAATTACTAGTAAGCAGATCAATAGATTTCACTTCAGCATTTGAATACCCCATTGTCAAATAATCAATCAATCTCTAACAACGAGTATAATCAATCAAGATAAACAAAGTACAAAAAAAAACATATAATCAATCTACATAAACAAATCAACTAGGAATATAATCAATGGACATAAACAAAGAAACAAAACCGTATACTCAATCTAAATAAACAGATCGACTAGGAATATAATCAATGGACATAAACAAAGAAAGTACAAAAACAGTTGGAAAAAATCAAGAAATGATTTAAATTTATATACCATATGGAGTGCTGGTTTCACTTGCGGAACCCTCCATTGTTGTCCTTGGAGACAAGCAGTTCCCAATAAACCTAAACTTAATCCAACATCCAGGTTCACCATCTTCACTATGTTTCTTCTTTTTTCCTTTTGATTTCTCAACATTAAAAGGCCCCACCTGGATATCACCTAGAACTAATCCCATTTTGTAAGTAATCTTTACACTAGATTCCCAAATCTAAATATTACTCATTTCACCATAATACACCCAAAACTATCAGTTTTTCACTCTTTTTAAAAAAAAAAACAATTAAAATCTACCATAAAAAGAGAAAAACCATAGAATTCTCATGAAAACAAATAACCTTTTGTTTTAAACTGAAAAGGACTTAATTCCCAGGAAAAAAAAAGAACCAACTCAAAATGACAGAAACCCAGATTGGAAAATGGGTCTTAAAATAAACTATATTCAAAGAGAAGGACATGCAATGCAAGAAACCAACTGGAAACATTAATCCAGAGCTAATACAGAGAAGAATGTGAGAATTCAAAACGAAGATGAAACACACGAGAAGAAACCCGGAATTTAAACGGTAAAGAACAAAAATTTAATAAGCCCGGATTCTTCAGTTTAACACCAAACACAAAACATTCAACTCAAACTTACTCCAAAGAGAGACAAACAACACAAAAAGACTTGAACAAACAAAACAAAAAGCAAAGCAAAGAGTTTAAATTTTCCATTTTTCAAAGATGGGAAAGAAATGCAGCATTTGAGAAATGGAAAAAACTTTGAAAGCTTAAAAATGAAAGACAAGAGCACAAAAAAAAAAGTGGGGAAAGGAGAAGCGGGCGTTATTTTCGCGTGAAAAGGAGTGAGTTTGTGCTTGTTTCTGTAATTTTTTGAGAAAACAAAGTTTAAATTAGGATAACCTACAAATTTAGTACTTTAACTATCACTTTTATTTTATTTTAATCATTCAACTATTTAAAAAAAATCATATTTAATGTTACGTTTTTATTTCATTTTGGTCACTTATTAAAAAAATAGAACTATTGATGTGACATTATCTTAAGGTAACACATCAATATCACTATTAATTTTTTTAACGATGGATGACTAAAATGAAATTAAAATTTAACATTAGATATGTAATTTTGAAGAAAAAATAGTTAGGTACTAAATCAGGAAAAAAACTGTGATAATTGAGGCATTTAATGAGAAGTTTACCCTTTAAATTAACCAAAAAGAGAATATATAATAAAAACAATAGGTTGGTCGGGTTTGAGTTATCCTCATTGTTTTGAAAACCGGACTGGACCGGCCGGTTCAATCGGTTTAATCGAGAATCGTTGTCTAGTCCGGTTTAATCTAAATCAGTTGAAT